AGCTGCTTCTAGAGCTCTCAGCCCACAGACAAGTGGGAATCGAGTGGCTGATCAGAGGGGGATTGCAGGGATCTCTTTGCTGGCGCTGAGGCAGGATTCTTTTGGTTTGCCCATGCTTGGATCTGGGTCCCAGTCCTGGGTGGCAGTCCTAGGGTGAGGAGGAGCACTGGTGGGATGAAGCTTGTAGTAGCAGTGAAGAGTGAATCCTCCCTACAGTTCCAAGGCAGAAAAGAGTGCTTGTGGTCACTCATAGACCAGAGCACTGGCCAGGAAAGGAGTAAACACCTTGCCCTTGATCACACCACCTTGGATGAATGGAAAATTTACAGGTCCCTAGAATTATCTCTGAAAACAGTTGCACAAAATCCCCAAAGCTTGGGACAGTACACTCTCCACACTGGAAGCAGACCCTTACCTTAACAAAGAGTTTAAAACTCAATCAATTGGCTGGGAACATGAGCAAACTGCACAAAAAAGTCAGACCACAGCATCTTTCTTTAGTGACAAAGAAGATCAAAACATACAACCAGAAGAAGACAACAAAGCCAAAGCTCCTACATTTAAAGCCCCCAAGAAAAATATGGATTGGTCTCAGACCATAGAAGAGCTCAAAAAGAATTTTGAGAAGCAAGAGAAGTAGAGGAAAAACTGGGAAGAGAAATGAGAGTGATGCAAGAAAATCATGAAAAACAAGTCAACAGCTTACTAAAGAAACCCCCCCCCAAAATACTGAAGAAAATAATACCTTAAAAAAATAGCCTAACCCAAATGGCAAAAGAGGACCAAAAAACCAATGAGAAGGATGCCTTAAAAAGCAGAATTGGCCAGATGGAAAAGGAAGTCCAAAAGCTCACTGAAGAAAATTAGAATGGAGCAAATGGAAGCTAGTGACTTTATGAGAAATCAAAGCATTGTAAAACAAAACCAAAAGAATGAAAAAATAGAAGACAATGTGCTGTTCCTTGTGCACAACATTCTGTCTCCCATCTCTATGACCTTCCCCCATGCCTGGAATGTACTCCCTCATCACTGCCATTTTGGAAAATCCCTAGTTTCCTTCAAAGCTCAGCTCAGGAGCCACCAGCTACAAGAAGCCTTCCCTATGCCTCTGTTCCCAGTGTCCATGACCCAGAATTATCTTCCCTTTACCTGGTGTATAGTTTGTATTTACTTTAAGGATGTATCTGTTCGTGTGTGTATATATTGTTTCTCCCAGTAGAATGCAAACATCTTGAGGGCAGAGACCATTTCTTTGTTCTCTTTGTATCCCCAGCATACCCGCTTGCCCAGGGCTTGGTACATAAGAGGCAAAAATAAATGCTTCATGATTGAATTTTCCAATCTCCAGTATGACCACAGATGTCCAGCTACCTGGTAGATCTGGTGGTGAAATCTTTGGCATAGGTTAAAACACTTCTTAACCAATGAGGCACCAATGGGAGAGGTGGTATTTTGAATACATTTGAAGTTCTTTCCAAAAGAGGGAGTTTTAGTGGCATTTTCTTTTTGCTTTTTTGCTTTCTATTCTAAGATGCAAGACATTCTGGCTCAAAAATATTCCTGGACAACCATTTATACCCCTGCTAGAATGAGAAGCTAGAAGGAAAACACAGAAATTGCAGAGATATTAGTTAAAATGAAGAATCTTCTTAAACTAAAACAGAGTACTTCTATTTGCCTCAGTTCTAGGTGCTTGAAGTCAGGAAGAGTCAGGTCAAATCCAGCCTCAGATATGTACTAATTGTGTGACCCTGGGTTCACCTCTCTCTCATCTTCAGTTTTCTCACATGGGGATAATAGCACCTACCTTTCAGGGTTATGGTGAGGATCAAATGAGATCATATATAAAGCACTTCGCTTAAGATTTAAAGCACTGTATAGATGTTATATAGTGCTCTTAAAGCACTTACCTTTCTCTCAGCCTCTCATGCTTAGAAAATAATTACCTAGGTTCTGGTTGTGAATACCAAGGATTATTGATAGTTCTATTTATGGAAAAGGAATGAGAAGATACTCTCTCCAGTTCAGTGATTCTCCATTTGAATTAAACTATGGTAGCACAAGAGGCAATCTATCTACCTCTAGTCTAGATAAAAGGGAGAGTGGTTCCTCATACTAACTCCCAATGGCCCATGATAATCTGCCAAGTTGCTGCCAAGTTTCTAAAAAGGGAGAAAATGTAAATTGGGAAGCAGTTGACCTCAAAGCTTCATCCAGAGTGAATTTTATTTTTCTTTAAATCATTAGACAGGTTTCCAAAGAAAGTACAGTAGCAGGACAGTAAAATTTAGACAGTTTTCAAATCAATAAACATTTATTAAGTGCCCACTGTATGCCAGGCACTGTGCTAAGTGTGTACTTAGTTATTAAATATTCTGTTCAATTCTACCTGTAATGATAGACCCAAAAGTATGTTAAGCTCTTTAAAAGTTGGGACTGTTTCATTTTTATTCTGAATCTTTAGTACCAAGCACTGTACCTGGCACATAATTGTCTTTAATGAATTTTTGTTGAGTTGAAGCAGAAATATGAATGGATGGGTCTTCAGTGCCCTCTCTCCTTAAAGCAGATATAGAAGGGAACAGGGTCATTATGAAATGAAATCATATTGCACAGTGTTAAGTTATGTTACTTTTTTCCCCTAAAAAAAATGTTGTGGAGTTCTCCCCCCCAACTCAGGTTTAAAATGGAAGCTTATCAACCTTCAAATCTGTGTAATCGCAGCTACCCAGCCAATCCAAGTTGATGTATTTAATGAGTTAATTTGCTATCTGGAAGGGATGTTAGCACAGAGAAAGGAAGTCCATCAATATCATGTGATGCCCTGCAATTGAAAGTCCCAGCAGAGAACTTTAAGGGAACACTGAATGAGGAAGTAGTGAATTTTGTGGGAGAGGACAGCTCCTTCAAAGTGAATCTACTGCTTTGGAGACTAGACAAAGGTACTGACCCCAAGGAATTTCACTGGTATGACTCCATTAGCATTTCTGACCCTACCCACACAGCTCTACTGAGAAAAAGAACTTAGTCTCATCTTAACACTTGCTATTCTGGGAAGATTTAAAAAATCTTTTCCTTCCCATATTTTTTGTAAAACACACAGCCTTCTTGATCAAGAATTCTGGTTCAGAACATTGTATTTCCTTCTGATGCTTGCTACTCTGTGTGTAATTCAAAAATTTTTTAAAGAAAATTAAATAATTTTCTCTCTCTCTAATCTGAATACTGTTCAAGGCTGAATTCCTAAGCATGTCAGTGTTATTGCTCATTATGGAGTCCCAGGCATGAGGATTAAAGTGTAGCAATCAGACATAATAGTTCACTTGAAGTTACAGTAAATGCTTGCACAGTAGTGTGTTAATGAGTGTTAAAACTGACATCATAAATACAACGTTCTCAAATTTTAAAATTACAACTCTGTAACAGGTCGTGCTGGTAAAAACACACAAGAAATACACATTGAGCCTTCAAAATAGATAACAAACAGTCAGCACAGATAATCACGAGCCTAAGTGCATACAAATAATTTTTTAAATGAGAAGAGAGTTAGCAGGTGGTTAAATTATTTGAGTAATAAGATAAGTAGAAATAAACCCAAATATTAAGTATCAAGTACCACCTTCTGGGCTTCTGGTCTTCTACAGTTTGGCATTACAACATGCCTCTGCCTTGTGGCAAACCCATGAAACTTGGAAATGTTATTGTTGGGTTTTGTTTTTGTTGATTTTTCTAAAAGAAAAGCTCACATTTGTAACCATATAATCCACATCAACCAAATAATTTGCTCAGGCAGAATAGTGACATTTCCCCAATCTAAAACTTTTAAAGTCCCCATCATGTACTGTGTAAAAAAAAATGGGCCCCTGTATTTTTTCCCAAACTAATCTTCAAGCAACTCTCAAAACCTTTCTTTGCCTACAAAGCATCCACCAATCAATAGCCTTGTGAATTGAGTTCTTTTTATAGCTAAAATATTCTTAAAGGGAATTAAAACCAGGTTTGTAGGTCAGATTGGCTGGGCCAGTGCCTAAAGGAATCACCTTGTGCTAGTATTCTTTATAAAAAGGAAACCAAAAATGGTCCTGATGAGTTTCTTCCTTTCTAGTCTGAAATGTAACCAAGCTTTAGTAACTAGAGGTGCTATTTTATAGGTGAATTGAGAAGCTTAAGTCTGGACCACATATTGACATTAATGATTTGATGGTGCTATTTCAGAGAGGAAGAACATTTTTTCCCTGGGTCCCAGATCAATTTAGATTATTTATCATGTAACTCTTTAAAATGAAGTCTGCTGTTGAAGCCACGTAGGTTAGTCTTCCCTTCCTTCTGAACCTGCTGTTTGCAAAACTTACTTTAGGCTATTAAACAGGTAGTGCTATTAAACTTTTCCTCCTAGATTTACCACTGCTTCAGGAAGGGGCAAGATCCTTTTCTACATGACTATATATACAAGAGAGGTTAAAAACAGTTTCTAAAGCACTTTGGGATTTCCCCCAGGTGAAAGGCACCATATAAATGTAAGTTGTTTCCACAATGAATTATGAACCTTCCAGCTAACTTATCTAAAATGAATACAACCATCAGAAACACCTCATCATTTATAATGAAATACTGCTTAAGAAAAAATTCTATCTAGAACAACTGAGTACTGTTCTGTCTCCTTGCAAACAATCCTGTGATAAGGAATTAATAGCCACTTTATAACATGCTCAATATGGGGCCCAATAAAATTGGTTAAAGCAAATGAAAACATTCTCAGGCATTCCTGATAAGGTAGCTGACACCACCTGCCTCCAAAACAATCTGGAGGTGATTTTGTTGACTTTCCATCTCTGGAAATATTGGTGAAAGTCAGGTATTTTGTCTGCAAAAATCTGTGAAATAGCCCTGAACTTCTCAATCTGTTGCCTCTCAGTCTTTTCAGGTTTTCATATTGTGTATGTGTGTGTGTGTGTGTGTGTGTGTGTGTGTGTGTGAAAGAGAGGGGAGAGAAGGAGAAGGAAGAGACGGAGGAGGAGGAGGAAGAGGAAGGGAGTGAAGGAGGGAAAGAGGGAGAGAGAGGGAGAGATTGTCCATTAGATATTGGGAGGTATCCTACCATGAATCTCCATCCAGATGAGAGAATTTGAACCCACATCTGCAATCAGAAGTGCCTAGTGCATTCAGAGAATCACTCAAGCCAAAATTCTCTTAATAAGAACAGTAACTCAGCCCTTAAATATCTTTTGAATACTTTTCAAATACTAAAGGTTCCTCACAGCACCCCTATGAGGTTAGCAGGGACTTCAACTAGTGAGAAAGGAAATCAAGACACACAAAATTCAGTAACTTAGGTAAGTGCCACGTGAAAATAAAGGATCTGAGCCTTAATGAAAATCCTAGCCAACTCCATGCTTAGACCATTTGAATCTACAGTCTTTTCAAAGACATATAATAGAAGTCAATTTGGAAACAATACACAACATATAGTATGATGGATACAGAGCAGTTATACAAAGGGGCTCAGGATTCCATCCACATTTTTATGTGATAGCTCAGGAGTCCTGTAATCGGGGAGCAAAGAGCAGGAAGAAGATCCTAAGAACCAAAGGAAGTAGGATATGTGTATTCCTTTAACCTGTTTTTCAGCATGTTTAGAAGTTTCCAAGGTACTTTATGCAGCATTCAACTTTTTTAAAGTTTGTGATTAGTTGTGATATTTTATACCATTTCCTTTTCAATTTTCCCATTTCTCTCCCTTCCCCATCCCAGCCCTACCTTGTTCCCAGAAGGAAGACAGTTAATTCAAAAAAATATATAAGGTTTCCCTGCAGTCTACTCCATGCACATATCATTTGTGTTCTGAGTACATGCTTATGTTCCTTGAGTTCCCCATTTCAAAGAAGGAAGCCCCTTATAAGGTAATTATAATATCATATAAAACATTATGTATCCTAGAAGCAAAATTACTGGAGTAAATTTTTCTCAGAAAGAAACATGCACTCATTTTTAATGAGATTTCAGAGGAGGATACTAAAAGACAGTTTCCAAGCTGCTGCCTTGCATATCAAATATGAAATATTTACTTTCATTAGACAGTAAAATAAACCTCTTAGTAATTGGAAGAGGCAGAATAACCTAATCCATAGTCTTTTAAAAAATGACAAGTGAAAAAAATTGCTAATTTCTATGACCCAGCAGAATTTGGTAAAATTGTTCAGAACATGAAATACAGCTTGAAAAAAAATCTATTCATCCCAGGCCTATGCATACTGGGTCTAAGGCAGGATTCCCATTGGAAAGACTCTCAGGAAAGCAGGGTATCTTCTTCATAAATGTGATTCCCAGTTAAGAATAAGAAACTCTCAGAGTTGGAAGAAATCCTAGAGATCACCCTATTCAACCCATTCCTGAGGCAGAAATCCCTCTATAGCATGTCCACTCCATTTGCAGTCCTCCAATAATGAGAAACTCACTACTCCTATTTCCCACACCAAGAAGCTTCCTAAGGTTCAGGGTTTAAGCCTGATTTTAGATCAACGCTATTTTCCCAATGCTTTTGCTCTTGAACTAGGATCAGTTTTCAATGCATGTGTAAACTGAGCAAATTAAATTTCCAGGGAGGTAATATTTGCGTAAATAACAGTAGTAAGATATGCACCCATGCAAGCCACAGAACTACAGGTTAAGTTCTAAGAAAAACAGAAAGTTGCATTGGTGATATGTGCTTAATTTCACATTTTCTGTTTTGAGCATTGAAGCAAATTGAGGAATGAATGCATGACTGAGTTTTTTTTCACATTCTTGTGAGTTGAATCTGAGTTTTTCATTGCTGACTTCACAAGTGCTCCCACTGGAGAGACACAGTTTTTATCCAGTCCTCATACGATAACATGGAAACAAGAGTGCAGACTGAAAGTGTTGCACCAGGAACATCAGGGATAGGTATATGATGAGTGATTTGTATAGAAAAACTGGCATTCAGGATACTCATCGGGCACAAAGTTTAGCATTTTTCTCAGTGCAAAGTTGGTATAGTGTTAGTCACCCCACCCCATATCAAAGATTCTACATGCTGTGGAAGTGATCGTGGGTGTACACTGATCAGGCATCTCCTTCCATTTAGAATGGTAAGGTACTGAAGGACTCTGTCTTCTCCTTACTTTGTAACCCCATGGAGCCTGGAGCCATGCCAGGAGCACAAAATGCAGCTCAACCATCAGTATGGTCTTGATGATTATGATGGAGCCACACCTTCAGGCTAATGTAGGGAATCATTTAAGCTTAGTTCACTTGGTGAACTCCTGCTCATGTTGGTAAGACTTGCCATCAGTGACTTAACTTTGTGGGCATAGTAGTCTCTTAGGTTGACTGAAGGAACCTCCTTCATTCCATCTCCAAAATCGCAGCTGCGCATGGCACTTTCAAGTTGCTTTTGTCGCCTATAAAAATGTGAAAATTTATTGAAGATCAGAGTTATTGGCAGCACCACCACAAGAATGCCAGCAAGGATACAAGCTGAGGCAGTCAGCTTCCCAGCTGTGGTCCCTGGAACAACATCACCATAGCCCACAGTTGTCATGCTCACAGTTGCCCACCACCAGCAGGCAGGGATTGTGGCCAGACCTTCATTTTCTTCTTTCTCAATGGTGTAGGCCACTACAGAGAATATTGATATGCCCACTGAAAGATAAAGCAAGAGGAGTCCCACCTCTTTGTAGCTATATTTCAAGGTTGCCCCTAGAGACCGAAGGCCAGTGGAATGTCTGGCCAATTTTAGGATGCGGAAAATCCTCATGAGCCTGAGGACTTGAGCCACCCTGCCTAAATTGGCCAAGGTGGGAGAGCTCTCCACCACCAGGTTGACCACCAGGGTGATGTAGAAGGGGATGATGGACATAAGATCAATCAAGTTCAGTGCATTCTTAAAAAATTTGAAGAACTCTGGGGCCACAGCAAACCTGGCCACTAGCTCAAAGGTGAACCAGGCAATCCCAAAATGTTCCACAATTTCAAACCTTGGGTCTTCCTCTGGGTTGCCTTGGCTATCAGGGATCAGAAAGTCAGGAAGGCTGTTGAGGCACATGGTGACAATGGAGCCTAGTACCACCATGATGGAAAGAATGCTGAATACCCTGCTCAGAATGGAATAGCCTGGGTTATCCAGGGCCAACCATAGCTGTCTTCGGAGGTTGCCTAAGGGCTGCCCATCAAATTTGGATGCATCATTATAGAAGGCCAAGATCTCATCAAAGGAGGAGGTAGTGCTCTCCTGGTCACTTTGCTCATCCCATTTCTCTTGATCAGGCTCCATCTTCCTTCCATGATAGCTATAACTGCAGCAAGAGTCGATGAAGAACTCATTAATACCCCAGTACTCTATCTCTTGGCTGAAGGAAAAAACGCAGAGCTCTCCCATTACATGTAGTTTGCCTGTGTTATAAAAGTGCAGTACATAGGGGAAGAGCTCCGGGTTCCGATCAAAGTAGAACTCGTTCTGCGCGTCGTCATAGTCATCACACAACTCCAGGATGGACTCCTTGGAGCGGCAGTGCAAGAGGCGACCCAACCGGGTCTCAGGAAAGCGCAACAGCGTGTGCGAGCGCAGCTTCTTCTTAAAACCCCCAACGTTGACGCTGATCTCACTATCCTCGAAGTTGGCTTCGGACAAATCCGACAGGCTCTGGCCTGTCATCGTGGGGATACTCGGGACACTGGCGAGGAGCTACACCTAGAATTTGAGCGAACAGGGAGGAGGCGATGAGCGCCAAAGGGGAAGGGATACGCATGACTAGCGTTGGGATTTCCCTCTCCTCTCATCTCCCCACCCCCTCCTACCCTCAGCGGCAAGACTTCAGGATCACATCGCGCATTCTAACGTAACGGTTCCTGGGGTTGGACTAGGTTTTTGCTAGTTTCTGTTGGGTGATTTTTTTTCTGGGTTAGTTGGGGGTGGGGGTGGGATGGGGATTGACCTCCTTGTAGATGTGAGAGGTGGACCCATCCCTTGGGGTGGACTCATCCCTTGTTTCAATACCTACTCAGAGCATTTCTGTGGGGTGGGGCAATAGCTAACCACATCTCCCACCTCTCGTCCCTCAGGTCCCCTCAGTCCGTTGACACTTTGGCATTTTTCTCCTCACGTTGGACAGCTCAGTGAGCTATCCTTGCATCTCTGATTCTGGCAGTCAAATTGGAAGTAAACGTAAGCTGAGGTAGATCCCAGTGGGCGTGTAGATGCCCCTCGCTCCCCCTACCCCCCCAATGCAGCTCGCTCCCTGGGAATTGGACGTCTTGATAAGAGAAACAAGGCTTTGGATGGATATGGAGGAGGCTTTGGAGCCAAAAACTGCTGTCTATCTTTTCAAATAGTAAGAAAATGGTGATTTAATACCCGCCACTACTTTCCCTGCCTAGAGCGTTCCTCCTCTCCAGTGCTTCTTTATGGGCAGCTGGAGAGTCGTGTGTGTGTGTGTGTGTGTGTGTCCCTCCTGTTACCTCCCTTAGTTCTCCATCCTTCTTGTCAGCTAATCAGGAACCTGTTCTACCCTGGCCCTCTTTCCTTTCCTGGCTCCGCGCCCCAGAGCCTCGTGCTCTGTGTGCTGAGCTCCCTGGATTTTTTCAGCTCTGCCCCTGGCAAAGCCGATTTTCGGAGAAGAAGGAATCAGCTCTTACCTGCAATCTCGGGAATCGTCTGAAGATACAAGTGCGAAACTTCCCAGGCCACCTTCTTAGCATTGCTGCTCCTGCTGTTGCTGATGCTGCCCACTGGATGTTAGTGTGTGCGCGCTCGTGTCTCTGTATGTGTGTGTGTGTGTGTGTGTGTGTGTGTGTGTGTGTGTGTGTGTGCGTGTGTGTCTAGCAGGAGGGATCCAGGGCGACGTCTCCTGCTTGTCTTCCAGGCTTGGGTGATCAGACAACTGCCAGCTGTTCGTGCTCAGGGCTGACAGGTTGCTCTTTGGACTTGGCTCTTGGGGAATCACCCCCGACCCCAGACCCACCTCCCTCTCTCCCCGCCGCAAGAGCCGCTCCCTCTGTGGGGGCTGGAGCTGCCCTCTCAGTCAGTCAGCCTCTGTGGGTGTGGGCTGCAGCGGGAGATTAGAAGATCCCATTTTCTGGGGCTGGAAGAGACTGAGGGCCAGGCCTGGCTAGGCGGGTGGTGCTGAAGGGACAGCTCCCAGATCCCGGTAGACCCTTCCAGCAGCCTCTTCTGTTGCTGCTGCTGCGGCAGCCGCTGCTACAGCCGAGGCTCCGGCACTCAGCCTAGGCGTCATGGCGACCACCGCCTATGCCCCCACCTCAGCGCTTCCCCAAAGGAGTCCGCTCCAGTCTACGGTGAACCCCACAGGTGCCTCAGCCCACTTCCCTTTGTCGTGGCCCCTCCCACCAAAACCTTTTTCTCCCGAACCTGGGGTAGCCCCAAGTGGCTTTATTCTCCAAGGTCCTGGGGGGGAGCCAGTTAGTCTTTTATCCTTCCCAGAAGCTTGGACTGAAGATACAGGGGCATGGAGATCAGGGTAGGGGTGGGTTGAGGGGAGGGGGTCGACGTACAGTTTGAGAAGAATTTTCGTTCCTTGGCTGTGCCAAAACTGGACAGCACTGAAGGGTTGAAGGTGTCAAACCTTTTTCCCGCCTGAAGAAAGTTTCTGGAGGCTTCCCAGGCAGCAAGGGGGAAGGGGAGCAGGAAGGAGGCAATAACGGGAAGCAGTAGCTCCCTCCCCCCCAGCTTTTCGGAGTATTGATGCTTATGAAATTGGAAGCCTTATGTACCTGTGTTGCCTTCAACATGGAGCTCTTTCTCTGCACAATATGGGAACTGTGTTTACATGCATGTGCTGCTATTTGTAGAAGTTGTATGTGTGTAGGTACAGAGTAGGACCTGTGTGCTGTGGGTGCTGCATCTGATTATACTGAGTGCATGTGTGTGCACAGTATGGGAGCTGTGTGTGTGTGTATAATATAGAAACAGTGTGTGTGTGCATGCAGTAAGAGAACTGTGTGTGTAAGGTGTGTGTGTGTAAGTGTGTAATGTGGTTGCTATGTATGTACATGGGAGTTGTATGAACGTTTATTTACTCTGTGTATAGCAAGGGGAGTCTGTGTGTATAGTAAGAGGGCTCTGTGAGTGTATGTGAGTGTGATGTAGCAGCTGTGTGTTTGTATTTTTGTTCAGGCTGTTCTCATGCCTAGAATTCTTCCTTGTTACCTCTTGAAGCCTTCCCCCATGGCTCTAGTTGGTAACAACTTTCGCCTTCAGACTTCATATAGCACTTTGTTTTGTAACTGTCTAATGATGTTATATTGTGTATCTTAGCTACCTGTGAGAGTGTCTTAGCTCCCTAATTCCTTAAGGGCAGAGACTGTTGCCTATATTATGTTTTCTTCAGCACCTAAAACTACCACTGCATGCAGTAGGCATTTAAGGTTTATTGTACAGTATTGCATTTGGATATACATTGAATTGTGCTAAGTGTACAGTGTGGGATGTGTGTGTCTGCATGTGCATTGTGTGGTATGGGAGCCATATGTATGTGTATGCCATGTGAGAGTTTAGATTGTAAGTGCTAGCTTTGGAGTTGTAAGACCTAGCCTCAAATCCTGGCTCAGCCACATTCTGCCTGTGTGACCTTGAAAGTCACCTAATCTCTCAGTTTCTGAGCCTCAATTTCTTTACCTTTAAATCAAAGGAGTTGGACTAGATCAGTAGTATCAAACTCAAAATAGAAACAGTTCCCTACAGGCTGAATATAGTTTTAGAAAACCACAAATTAATGTTAGCTATGTTGTATTGTATTTTTTTTCTTTTATTAAACATTTCCCAATTACATTCTAATCTGGTTCCTGCAGCAACAAGTTTTTGACACCTCTGTGCTGGATGACCACTAAGGTCCCATCAAGATCTTAAAAAATCAATCTGATTTTTTTTATAGTTATATTCCCATGTCTACTGGGCACAGCCTATTTTCAAGGAAAATACTGCCTGAGTCCTGACAGCTCTACTCGGAGGTCCTATTTTTCCAATGATCTTCATCTTCAAGATGGTGGGTACAGGTTGGAACCGACCTAGGGAAATGGCCTCTAGTTTTTACCTTCCCTTAGTTGCATTACCTGTTTCTCCCCTCTCTTCTTCTCTAGGACCACCTGCATTGTAAAGGAATGAAGGCAGCAGTTATTCTAGCCTGGCAAGCAATAATCAGCAAATGGATTTGTTGCTTTTGATCAAAAGCATTGGGAAAAACACAAACCTAAAAAGCAAATGCATAAACAGTGCTGAGTTCTGCACATGTCCACTGCAGCTGCAAATTGAAAGACAGCTTTTCCCTCTTTTGCTCGGCACACAATGCAGGCTGTTGGCTGTGCATTGATCTTCTCAGCCTCACCCACCCCCTTGGATGGAAATCACCATCAGTAGCATTATCTTTAAACACGGAACACAGCTGTGGTGCAGAATCTGTATCCACAAAGCTGACCTTCCCTCAGTGTTCCCCTCTCCCCAGAAATGACTTAACATGATTGGTCACCTCAGACACCTGCCTACTATAAGTGTTTGTCAGGAACACCTTGAGTCTCTATTCTTGTAGGCACTGCTTCTCTCTATATGTGTGTATCGGCTGGTTGTTACACCCCTCTAGTCTTTGTCTTCATGATTTTCATGCTCAGGGCATGTGAGAAGGATGAAAGAGCATATACTCTCCCTTATCTGGATTTTAATGTATGCCGTTTCCCCAGAGAGCTTTATATATGTGTATGTGTTTTTTCCAAATATGCCACATGCTCTGGTATAAGTATGTTTGATCCATAAATGTTTTTAGCGCTGTGTAAGTTCAATGTATGGTGTGTGTGTATGTGTATGTGTGTGTTTGTGTGTGTGTGTGTGTGTGTGTGTGTGTGTGTGTGCACGCACATCCCCTGTATTCTTTATTGTTGTTCTTTGGCTTTAAATTTTCCTCTCCTTCATCTCCTCTGTTTTGGCTGCATATACTTTCCTTTTCCCCTTTGGTCTATATGTGTCTGCTAAATATGTCACACACCCCTAATCAGTTTTCTTTGTCTATGTCTTTCCCTTTATATTTTTCCTCTCCTATGCATTTCATATCCATGACAGACTTCCTGGTGTGTGTCTGCTGAGTGTCTAACAGCCCCTCACTATGTGTGTATTCCGTTCTTTGTGTTAGTTCTTCCCTTTGTGCATATCTATTAACTATATTGCTGTCTCTTTCTGCACTGTTATATCTCTCCCACCCCCTGCTTTGTGCAGCTCTCCGCTTCATTTTATATTTGTGTCTCCCTGCTGTGTGTCACCCTCAATTCCCTGCTTATTGTGTGTCCTATGTGGTAGATTGTCTCTTTTTTTCTTTCCCTCTCTTAACATAAGCCTCATCTTCTTTCTCCGTGTGGCTCACAGCTCTCTAGCTATTCACATTTCCCCATGTCTTGGGTGTGTGTGGTGTGTGTGTGTGTGTGTGGTGTGTGTGTGTTTCTGCTCTCACCTCCCTTTCTTCCCTTATTTTAGTCTTCCTTCAAGCTCTTTTCTCTTGATACCATTTCTTTTTTGTTAGGTGTTTTCAAGGTCCCTGGGTTTCCTAACTCTGCTTATCTGCTTGCCTCTTTCCATTCAGGTCTGGTTTTTGTTTTCTCACCTTCACTTTGCCTTGTGTATGCAGCAGGATTTCCCCACTTAACCCCACCCCTGATATAACTTCTCCCTGCTCTCTCATGGAATACAGTTTGGCTTCTTTCTCTGAGTTTCACAATTCCACACCCATACAATCTGCCACTGGGATACTGCTGGGATTGTTGATGTCCTCCTCCATTTGACCCTATCAGTGAACAACTGGAGCATTCTGTTTTCCCTAGTTCCTTTTCTTTCTCTGCCCTCTACTCCCACTAACCCCAAACTGCCAACTTGCTCTTGCCTCTGATGTGTGCACTTCTAACCTGCCCCCTCCCATGCCTGGCAGAGAGCCTCATGTGAACTCGGGAGCTGAGCTGTGTTACTCACACTAGACAGCCATGATACGTGGCTGGGGCGCTGCCAGGTTACTTGAGCTGTCTCTTTTTTGATCCTCCTTATAAGGCTGAAGGAGTAAAATTCCTGACCTTCCCTATACAGGTGGAATTGATTGTGAATCTTCAGGCCCAGTGGGAAAGAGGTTATTTCAGCACATCATTTATTTATTGGAAAGGACAAGGGAGAGGCACCGTGTTCCTGACAGCTGCGTTTGTGTAGGGTTAAGTGTATGTGGCAGGCAGAGTCACTTGTTTATTTCCCAATGACTACAGCCAGAAGAGAAATGGAAATGCCTTCCTCCTTCTCTCTCTCTCTTTTTTTTTCAGAAGAAATCTGCTTTTGTTTATTGTTTGTTTACAGGTCTATGCCCTGTTCTTAAAATACAGTGCCATTCTGTGGGAGCAGAGTCTCAACTGTGTAGCTGTTCAGAGGCTAAGAGAGTAATAGAGTCTAGTGTGTTTGTTCATGTAAGGGGATGGTGAGGAGAAGGGAAGGAATGGAGGGAAGGTGAGGGAACCTAGGCTTGCAGGCATTAATGAACCCCAGGCATGGCTTCCAGCTGAAATCCCCTGCACCTGGGTGCCTATTATTTCTCTTCCACTCCTGCCAGATCACTGATCTCTCTGCTGCACCCCACACATCTCGGGCTCAGCTTCTTCAGCGATGGGCGAGGGGGTTGCATTGGCGGGAGTGGCTGCTGAACAGACTGGATCTGCCTGACCTACATTTCCCCACTGCAGAAAAGAGCTCAAGTCTTCATTGCTGCTTCCAGGTATCCAAAGGCACGTGTGTGCTGGTCACTGGCTTCCCCCACCTAGGATGTCCACCAGCCTTCCTTTCTCTGCTGCTCTCAGTCAGTCACATGCCATTTACTTTGCTTTGCCTAAGTCTGAAACTGGTTCCACAGTCTTCACTCTCTAGGGTCATTAGTCACTCTTTCACCCCTTTCCATCCTCCTCTCCCTGAGGACAGAGGGGCAGGAGAGAGTTGTTGGTCGTGAAGGAAACTATTAACCTGGCTTCCTTAATTTAAGTTAGAACTTGAGATCCTCAGCTCTGTTGAAACTCCTGCAGGGCATAGACAATGCCTTCTTTATCATTGTACCCCACTCTGTACCTTTTGAAGTAAGTGTTGGATAGGTGTTATTGGTTAATGAGGGAAAAACAGGAGAAAGTCCACTATGGAGAAAGTTCAGAAAGATTAGCTAATAGTAACTCACGGTGTTAAAGACTTGAAGATTTTAGGGTGCTTTATATAAACAATCTCATTTGAAACTTATAACAACCCCATGAGGTAAATGACACTATTCCCATTTTATAGAGGAGGAAGCTGAGGCCTAGAGGTG